GGAGGGGGCTAGATCTACACCCTACCTGTAACCTATTGGACACAGTGTGTATACACTCTCTATCTATAACAGGGAGGGGGCTAGATCTACACCCTACCTGTAACCTATTCTATACAGTGTGTATACACTCTCTATCTATAACAGGGAGGGGGCTAGATCTCTACCTGTAACCTATTCTATACAGTGTGTATAAGCTCCCTATCGATAAGCTGAACGTCCCGGGTCGAGGGACATAAACAATATACAATTTTGTCACATCATTGTACAGGTAAAAAAACCGAAATCGTTCACTCAGTCATAGCTTGACAAAGGGACCAGTCGGTCTTGAAACATTGCGACACTTTTAATATGTACATTGTTTGTGTATAAAGTAAAACTTTGATATGCCACTTAATTAATTAAAGCAAATCAGCAAAATGTATTTCTTTTCCCCACACCATCAGGAGTCTGCATGTTGTCATTAGAACTTGGATGAAATCTGAACAAAAGTTTGTCATTTAAAGCAAAAGTTGAAAGAGGACAGACAATGAACAAAGGAGGACAGATGGGCGAAGCATCACCAAATAAGCTCACCCAGGTACATCACACCTGGAGATCTAACAAGTCATTGTTGGGATTTTCTATAAACAGGCAACTTATACATGTTCAATTGTTCTTCAAATGTATAATTTTTAAATACGTCTTAAGCTTAAGATATTTAGAGAGAACATAGCTGACCAGTAGGCCATAGGACATGGCCTGGTATGCTGCAGCCTCTTTCTCCAGGGCCGTCAGATTGAGGGAGCAAAGCTCTGTGTGGAAATCACTCATGCTGAACTTGGATCCCGGTACGTCCAAAGGAAGATCAGTTAGTACACAAAAATCCTCCCAGGAACCCACCATTAAGATGTTGTTCACCTATGAAACAGACACACATTATTCAGCTTTTTAGATATATAAGTTATATGATACAACATGTTAGAATTGAAATTTTAAAAATATACAAGAACCACAGTTTTAACCATCAGCTGTATGTGAAATTCCAAGATTAGAATAGTGTCTAATACAACATGACCAAACATAAGATTATGGCAATCAACTTTAAATGCACAGTAATGGATAAGTCAACCAAATGAAAAATAAATTCAAGTCAGACATATATATTACCTGTTGTGAGTGATAGATAAAATTGAAAACCAAGACAGCATACAGGTGAGGAATGTCATCTGCAAGCTTCATCAGTTTCTGTAAGGTTGGGAAGCCCTTCAAAGCAGCCAGAGGATCCTCAGAGGCATCTGTCCAAGCATTAAAACAATTCATGAATATATGCAAGGAAAAAAATGTATTAACTTATAGTGCTTTTTAATTGGATTTCACATAAATTCTCTAAAGAAGGAAATTTCAAATGATCTGATGGAGAATGACAACATATCAGGGCTCAACAATAAGGGTAGCTTGATAGTGGGAGACTAGTTGAATCTCTAGTTGGACTTGTGGTTCTAAAAACTGCCAGCCTGATTGACTACTCAAAATTTGATTATTTTCGTATCATGTTGAATAATAATGGGTTGGTAGAATTCGCACATGGACTAGTAAAATTGGATACAACTAGCATGACTCAATAGAAGTCTTTGGAATTGATTAGCCCTGCACACATTTCCATACCCAAATATTTTCATAGAATTATACTATTAGCTTTAATTCAGAATCTGATAAGTTATCAGCATTTCAATATTCAGTATGTAACATACCTATACTCTGGCTAAACCGCTAATCAGTATGTAGCATACCTATACTCTGACTAAACCGCTAATCAGTATGTAGCATACATATACTCTGGCTAAACCGCTCCTTGGTCGTTTTGACGTAGAATCTTATCAGTATGTAACATACCTATACTCTGGCTAAACCGCTCCTTAGTCGTTTTGACATAGAAGCTTATCAGTATGTAACATACCTATACTCTGACTAAACCGCTCCTTGGTCGTTTTGACGTAGAAGCTAATCATCTGTAACATTGACTCCATTTCTGGTATGGACTGCAGGCTAGAGAATGCACTATCAAAACCTTTTCCTTGTAATCTGAAAAAAAAAATCAAAACCATCACTCCAGAAATAGTCACATTTGTATCATAAAACACACATCTGACTGGGAAGACCTAGTCACTGATAATCAAGGGCTGAATCCAACATATCAACACTACTGTAGGCTTCAGGTGTGACAGATCTCTCAAAACATGCATTAAACTTCGTGTCCACCTATTTCTACATGTTATGTTCTCTTAAATCAAAGTAATGGAAATCCTCCTACTGATGTTTGATGGCATATTTCTCTTCTCCAACTCTTTGTACGACACAAAATAAAGACAATTCATGTTTCTTTAACATACAAGAATACTGAGTAAACTGTATACTTCCATAATCATTAGATATTGACATTTTCCATATTTATGTTAGACCTACTGTGGCAGATTGTTGACGGTAAAAGCAGTAGAGAGATCCTCCATGAATTTCTCTAACTGTCCCATGTAGAGTGTTAGGTTCGTCCAGTCCTCGCTGCCCCCGAGGATGATGGTAGGGGGGTACATGATCAGACTCTCCACCAAACTGTTAACAAGTGTCTGCTCAGCCATAATTGTTGTGTAGTTAACCGACACTAATCCTGGTGGTGGTGAGACTGAGGTGAACATAGCCAACTGGAAACAAGAAAAAAGAATGGAATACTCTAGATACTTTCCAAAACAAATTATTCCAAGTGTCTGGAAGGTAGATGCAAAGTATTTCTAATTCCCCTTTCCCCAGGTTGCTCTCCTCAATCTCAGAAGTGTTTACCATGAATTATTAGGGACAAACATTAAATGGTTTGACCTTTGACTATACCTTGACCTTTTAGGACAGACCTCAGTGTAAGGCAACATGCCAGCCAGCCATGATGCAAACAACATTGAAGTGGGAAAATGAGATGTCGTGGTGATCCAAGTTTACAGTCCAGACGACATGACATGACCTTGACCTTTACTGTATGCCGAATCTGATACACACATGTGCAGACACCAGACTTTTGTTTTGATGTGACTGTAGCAAGACTGAGACAGTTGTCTACCATTAACCATGTCGCACCATAGTTTAAAGCAAATGTTTCGTGTTTGGTTGCCCAGGAGCTTATTTACTGGTTGCTCATTTTGCAATTTTTCTCTCCTTGCACAGAACATTGTTTCTGGATTGGTTCTATTTCATCTTAATCATTATTATTATTTTCAAAAAAAAATAATGTTTGCAAAATACTCTTTTCTTTACCCATTTATTTTGTATTACTTAAATGTTAAAATGTTAAATGAGTTCTCAGAAATTAAGTTAAAATAATAATGCAATTAATTTTTCATTTCTGAAAAGGTCTGTAGAAAGTTCTACAACAGGATCCTTGACAAAATTCCTTCATTAAATATCAATTAAGTACATCACAAAGTGGTTGGACTCGGTGTACAACAATCCCTTACAGACTTACCATGTCTGAAAGTCCATCAACATTCTGTATAAGATCCTCAAACATTTTGGTGATGTTGACATCAAATCCACAAATGGTTGAATGTAGTTGGCCAAGATTAACAGTGCTACCAGTTGGTACCTTGACAATCCTTTCAAATATGGTCAGGTTTGTACACAGCTGTTCCAGGTTGCTCATCAAATAGTTAATCTGAAGCAGTGATTATTAATCTTATTATTCAGGAAAAGTATTTAGCAATACTTTAATATATGCCAATAACTATACAAAATTAAATTAACATTTTCTTTATTTTCTTATTATGTTCCATTGACATCAGCAAAAACAATTGTAAGAGGTTAGAAAAGCACAACAAGATTAAATCTGTAAGGACGTTCATTCTTACCAAATCCGTGTCTGTCATCGCAGCACTCAACGTCTCCAACATTACGCTACTTATGTCAGGGCCAGCCACCATATTATCTAATATCTTGTTGAACTCTGCTGAGCCAAGATATGCCCGGAGATCTACAGGATCAGTGTCTAAATGTAGAAACAGGACCAAAAGTTAGTAAATATTTATAAACTAGTCATGGACTTATAACACTAATATCAAATTGTAGTAATGTATAGATTTATCAGCAAGTTATACATTGGTGATTTCTTTTTGAATAGTTGTACTCTTGAAGTATGAAATGTCAACGACATTATGTAGCATAATAAGGTAAGTGTAAAATGTGCATTATTCCATTGTAAAGGAAGTGTCAACGTTTTAACCTTAATCAAATCACTTCACACAATATCTGTATATTGGCCAACAACTTTGTATATTTTCATCAATATAGTCATCAATATTTTCATCAACAAAGTCACACAAAAAAAACATATTTCATGGACACGAATATAGTCCATTATATAGGAAGTAATGAACCCACTCCAAATGACACACATAGAAAACATTTATATTGTTATTTGGTCGAAATACCACCAGACAGATGTAAAAAAAAAATCCCATTTTAAAAATAAACCACAAGTATTTCTAATTGCTTAAAATGACAATTTTTTTGGCTGTGCTAAATAACTGAAGATTCCAATGACGATGGTATCAATGAACATGTTAGATTCCAGCGACTCTGTTTCACCAGCAACACAGTACCAGCGACTCTGTTTCACCAGCGACTCTGTTCTGTTTCGACTCTGTTTCACCAGCGACTTAAATGATAACGTAATCTCATCTTCACAAGACATGGTAACCATGATCCATAAATTATTCTTTACTATTATTCTATAGACTTCTTTTCCATACAATCTTGTAGACTCACTGTTGAAGTAGGTGAGATGTCTGATGAAAAACTGTAGAGAGGTATGCATTTGGTTGGTGAACACTGCCTCCATGTTTTTTAGTGCTGTAATGTCACTGCCATTCCCCTGTAAAATCATGTTCAGTAACATGTTTACCATGTCCGACTGTTGGAAACCACTGCAATAAACATAGAATAGATCAAGTTAACATTCATCATACCCCTAATAAAAATCCGGCATCAGCTCTCTAGCAACTTCTCCATGAAAGGAAATTGATTTTTTTTTTTTTTATTCAATTGATGATTCATTCATATCCATTTAATATCTCATTTTTTGTTGTATTTTAAATAACTCATATATTTCATACATGCTACATGTTGCAAACTTACTGAAATTTGTATATACAATTTGTAGTTAACTTTAAAGTGAAATTCATGAATCTTAATTCCCTATTACAAAAAAACATTAAACAGTAAAGCGTTCAGTATTGAAACAAGAGACCCATGGGGCCTGTATTGCTCACTTGTTTTTATCTAAACTAGACAAGAAAATGAGGCCATTTCCACTAAATGAACAGTTGAGGCCATTTAAGATTTCTATTTCTTATTGACCAAAAGATTATAATATACCACCTGATCATGCCTGTGACAACACATTTGACCGGTGACCTTGAGTGTCTGTCAAGGCAATTCAAAGTATGTTTAAATTATTTCTCCTGGTTAAATCATAAACTGCTTACCTAGTAAGGTTTCCCATTCCAGTAATGGCAGATACCAATCCTTCCCAAGTCATGTTCATACTGTGGAGATAAAACATCGAAAGTCATGTTCATACTGTGGAGATATAACATGAAAAGTCATGTTCATACTGTGGAGATATATCATCAAAAGTCATGTTCATACTGTGGAGATATAACATCAAAATTCATGTTCATACTGTGGAGATATAACATCAAAATTCATGTTCATACTGTGGAGATATAACATCAAAAGTCATTTTCATACTGTGGAGATATAACATCAAAAGTCCTGTTCATACTGTGGAGATATAACCTCAAAAGTCATGTTCATACTGTGGAGATAAAACATCGAAAGTCATGTTCATACTGTGGAGATATAACATCAAAAGTCCTGTTCATACTGTGGAGATATAACCTCAAAAGTCATGTTCATACTGTGGAGATAAAACATCGAAAGTCATGTTCATACTGTGGAGATATAACATGAAAAGTCATGTTCATACTGTGGAGATATAAAATCAAAAGTCATGTTCATACTGTGGAGATAAAACATCGAAAGTCATGTTCATTCTGTGGAGATATAACATCAAAAGTCATGTTCATACTGTGGAGATATAACACCAAAAGTCATGTTCATACTGTGGAGATAAAACATCGAAAGTCATGTTCATCCTGTGGAGATATAACATCAAAAGTCATGTTAATACTGTGGAGATATAACATCAAAAGTCATTTTCATACTGTGGAGATATAACATCAAAAGTCATTTTCATACTGTGGAGATATAACATCAAAAGTCCTGTTCATACTGTGGAGATATAACCTCAAAAGTCATGTTCATACTGTGGAGATAAAACATCGAAAGTCATGTTCATCCTGTGGAGATATAACATCAAAAGTCATGTTCATACTGTGGAGATACATGTATAACATCGAAAGAAGAAATAGAACTTTCCATGAAAAAAAAATGATAAAACTTTATCACCATGACACTTGGGATTAAAAGAACGTTCCTAAAAGACAGATATCAAAATGCATAGCGGCGAAGTTTACTTTCAAATGATAAGCAATAAAATGCACATGTTTGTAGAGAAAATAACCTAACCTAGCAGTTAAAATTGTATCGAAAAACTGCAAGAAAATGATTCAAATGTCAAGAATGATGATGTGTATTTCAGCTAGTATGAAGTTTAACAGCCCATCTGAGTGAGCGTGTCATCTAAGCCTGTTTTACAGTTTTATACCTGTGTAGCATGCTAATTCAGTTTACCTTCAGAAGAATTGTTGGCTTTAATTTGTGCTTAGTTGTCGAACATATTACAGACATTCCATTGAAGATTTTACTAATCTAAGCTATGATAATTAAAGCTATCTGAGGTAACAAACACTGATCACTACATACTTTGATGGGTCCATCGGCAACATTGCAGTCATGTCAGTCATACTGGACATCATCATGGTCATCATAGCCTCCTCCATTCTCGTAAAATTGATGGTCATTATCAAATCCATAACAGGACTTTCTCCATTAAACATCTTCTCCATCTGGTGCATGTTGGACACCATTCCATCCCAATCAAATTTATCAGGTACCCCAGTTGTAGAATTTGGTTCAAGAAACATATTGTCCTGAAAAAATAATTATATAGACAATTTATAATCCTAAATGTGTCATTATAGCTTTTAAAGTTTTTATTGGTTATAACAGAAAAATGTTTGACAAACTTTTGTTGGTCATTTCAGTTCAAGTAAATTATCATATTTTGCCAATTTTGCGCCACTAAAATTCTGCATTCAAACGTTACTTTTCTGACAAAGTCAACAATACTTTCAACAAATAATTTCTGCATTATTGGCATTGTTCTTGACATGGGTATGATTGATTGATTGATAGGTTTTACGTCCGCTTCACTACCGAGTTCGGTTATCCAGCAGACAATATGTCTCTGATCTACTTGATCTGGTGTAATATAAAAGACTGTCTTTCATATCCTACTTAAAAAAATATAGTAGGGAAAGGAAGACTGTTTTCGAACTGATCCTCATTATCTTTCCGTATCTACGTTGAATCAAAATGACCGCAAAGATTGTTTCTTGCTCTTTATTTTGTCGACTTTCAAACAACAAGATCTCCCGCGAATTTTGTGATTACTGAAGAGTTCCAATAACCGGTGTGTTCGATTCACGGATTAGCGCATGATCCGGTTTATTCCGTAATAAACGAACACACTTGGACTGAAAGAAAACTTTCAAAAAAGATAGATATCAAAATGCACAGCTGCAAAGTATACTTTCAAACGATAACAATAAAACGGAAATTCTTAGACCTAAATATTTTATCGAAAACTTTTAAGAAAATTATTCAAATGTCAAGAATTGATGTCGTGCATTTCTGTGGGACATATATATACTAGCATGAAGTTTAACAGCCCATCTGAGTGAGCGTGTCGTCTAAGCCTGTTTCACAGCTTTATACCTGTGTGACATGCTAATTCAGTTTACCTTCAGTAAGAATTGTTGGCTTTGTGCTTAGTTGTCGAATATAACTAATGGGAATACTTTTCATCTTTCTTCATATTTGAAGTTTTCTCGATGACATGAACTAGACGGTTACCTTGAGCTCATAAACATTTCATTGCTCACAAGTGCACAAAATGGTAATGGCTAACATTGTATTACATGTTTACCACTTATCTTCCACCTGTCGGTATACTTGAGGGATGTGAACTCAACTACATGTATACAGGTGTGTTATCAAGCTATCATGCAACTTTTTTAAGACACTGCAAAGGAATTCTAAGCAAGATAGAAACACACGAGTTGCTTTTAATAATGTCTACCGGATACAAATCCAATGTTAAAACCCGGCTATTTGCATTTCAAATGTAAGAAAACAGAATATTAAGTAATGGTTAGGAGGTATATATGGGGCTTTTACAAATCCCTTGACATTGAGAGATTACGTGTGAGATATTTTGGAAAATAACACTTAAATTGCAGCGTAAATACACTCGATTTTATCATATGCTATAAACATGGACGATTTCCATTAGCTATAGAAAATATAGAATATATCTTATATTAAAGGCTAAGTTTGTTTTGAACACAAACAGGAATTGAAAAATAATTTTGCGAGCTTTCGAAAGCGTCTGTTTCCTTTGTCAAGCAAACAGTGTAAATGACTGGTGTCTCGACTCTAAACCCACTGAAAACAACTCACTAAGCCACAGTGGGCCGAATCAAGTACAGTCAGCTGTCAAAAATCATACAGACATTTCTCCAGATTGCACTCTAATACTGCAGGCAGTCAGGGAGGTGGGTAACATGTTTACCCATTCCACCCTTAGAGGGTGTTAAAGTGGGGCCATGAAGATGACTCAGCTGGTGCCCCCCTTCGTCTCTGTTCACCGAATCCCCTTATTTCCTAACCCAGATGGATTCTTTGATTTATCTGATTTTCCAGTTGTCTTATCTTTCAGGCACTTTCGAGTTGTTCCAGTTTATGATGTGGTTGCGTGTGTTCGCATGGTCTGTAACGGCTGATTCATTGTATTGTTTCCCGATGTCTTCCTCTAGTGTAGACTTTTAGATGTGTCCCAAATTTCCGACCAGTTTCGAATTCCCCGATGTATGGTTGCAGCTGTTGCATGGAATTTGGTAAATCACACCTATTTTGTCCTCTTTCGTCAATTGGTCTTTCGGTTGAATTAATAATAGTTGCTTGATGGTGTAGTGTGGTCGCATGGGCGTGCTGATGTGATGTTTGCTCAACACTCTTGAAAGTGCTTCAGACATCCCATTTAAGCATGGGATAGAGACCATGCCGTCGGTTTTTCTATGTGATTGTACGTTTTTGTTTCTTGTGGCCTTTATTTTCTGTTTGTTTTTCTACTTCCCTTATCCACCATTCGGGGTATCCACACGTTGTGGCCTGTTTGATGTGTCGCTTTTCGATTTCCCTGTCTTTCTGTTCAGTTATGATATTTATGCATCTATCCAGGAAAGTAAGGACTACCCCAAACTTCTGATGCAACGGATGGAGTGAATTAAAGTGGAGGTTCTGCCTGTGTGAGTGCATTTTTTTGTATACCAGCGATTTGATGGAACCGTCAGGTCTTCTTACGATGAGGGTATCTAGGAAGGGAATTTTTCCGTCTCCCTCTTCTTCTTCCAATTGTATGGAGCCTGTATAATCCGCCTGGTTTATACGCCTGAATAATCCGCCTGTATAATCCGCCTGGTTTAGGCGAGTTGATAGGTTGTTTACCTCACCTTTCTTGACGTCTTCCAAGATATCATCAACTTTCCATAGTTTAGGACGACACTCCATCGGAGCAGTTGTGATGGCTTTCTGCTCAAGAAGCTCCATAAAAAATTGGCAACAATGGTCTCCCCATTGCTGCCACAAAAGTCCTGTTTGTGTTCAAAACAAACTTAGCCTTTATTATTCATATCAAACTGATGAATCTTATTCCTAATAAATGTACCTTATATTGGTTGAAACTAAAAAAAAAAAACACGGAAAATTGTGTCTTACAGGCTTGTTGAATAGATATGACAGAACAATAAGGATAGCTGGTGGATAATGGTTGGAGATGAATTACAGAGGCTAGGTTGAGGCCTGTGTGTGGGTAGCGGTAAAGAGGCTGCAATCATTAACCACAGAATTATGGATATATTTATCAAGATTGTAAAGAAAGGTAAGTAAGGGCTTTGTCAGTATTGATGTAAAGAATAAAAAGGACTTTCAACGTATTTTGGGCCATTTAGAAGATGAAGATACATCTCATTTTGTATTGAGGGGTCCCTTTTGTGAGTTTGTTAAAGAAATACCTTCATCATTACTGTGTTTGAATCATGCTAAGTGTGGAAATTCTGTCGCCAAATAAACAGTAAAGCCTTCAAAATTTCAAATAAAAGGACTGATGCTCTGCAGTGATGTTACACTGTATTACTTCCTCATACTGTTTATAGCTTTTTATTGCACTATGTTTTTTATTGTGTTGGAAACCGTACTTGTTGCATCATTGCAGTCATGTCAAACGAAGCCGTCATGCCGTCAACTATCTGGGTCCAGTTGATATTACACAAAGCCATCTCCATGTCCACCACAGGCACGTACTCCGGCATACTCATCTTCTGCAGTATTTGCTGGTTACACATGACCATCATGGGGTCTGGGGAACTCAGCACCTCTGTCAACTGAACAGAGAAAAACAGTGAGATCGTGGTGAATAACACTAGTCACCACATGTAGTGAACTCGGGCTCATCCGACAAGTTATCATGGTTAGTTATTTACTGAACTTTTGCTTTTCAACAATTTATAATGTGAACTTTATTCATTATTTTACGATAACTATTAAACAAGTTAAATCAACCTATGAAATCATGAGTACTCGAAGAAAACCCACGTGGTCGGACAGGTGATCCCATACCTTATCACGTCCGACCGCAGAGTCGACCCCGGGCGTCTTAATACCGCCCACTACGTACACCACCCGACAGCAAATAAGTTATCATGGTTAAACATATATGGATCAACAATTCATATATATATACATACCATTTGAGAGGAATTAGCATTCATCATAGTGACCATGATTTCCGGCATATACTCGATGACGTAGATCATCAGCTTGCCCGTGTCAGTGGATGGATCCATCATTGCTGATTGAAAGCGAGTTAAAATTCAGTTAGTTTCGTTTATAATGATACGAAGGAGTAGAATGACACAAAATTACATAAAAAACGAACAACTATTTTTATTTGAAGTGAAATACAAGAAATAATCCACAAATTCAACAAAAATGACATAATTGACCACAACGGCTACACATAATTGACCACAACGGCTACACATAATTGATCACAACGGCTACACATAATTGATCACAACGGCTACACATAATTGACCACAGCGCCTACACATAATTGACCACAACGGCTATACACATAATTGATCACAACGGCTACACATAATTGGCAAAATTCACCACCATGTCAACACACAATTACAACTGCTGTTGACCAAAAGAAAAAAAAATAGAAACCACGAAACTACGGAGGTGTAACTAGATTATCCCAAACAGCGATTCCTGTCTCACATGTTTCCATAAAATATAGGGGAGCACGTAGACTACCAACGATCAACTTGTTATAATGAGGTCTTAGTGTATGTCAACAGGACGCATTTTTTTTCAGAAAATCCTGATAGGGTCTTCATAGTTCAATATACTCAAAAAGGGTTGTTATTTATTTCAATATTGTTATAGCAACAAACAGAAATAATGACAAGGTACTTACTTTCCATAAACTGCATTTGTTGTGTCATTGAATTCATCTGTGTATACACACTATATAACATAGGGCCCATCACGGACCACAGGGGCGTCTTCTCCAGCATAGGCCCGACCATGGTCACCATAGGATCCCAGCTGACAAACACAACACGTTCAATACAATTCAATATTTTTATTTGTCAATTATAGTTTCACAATTGCCTGAAGGCCAAACACAAGTAAATTAAAAGTAGAAATATTACGTATTTAAGCTATAACCTGACTTAAACAGAAATAAGGCCAACTCTCCTCAGATCCAGTTTTTATGAATCACAAAGAGTCCTGTGTTAAGATGAGAGAGTTTGTGTTAAGTGAAGGGCCATTTGGATTATATTTAGTCAAATAGTCGTCACCGATTGGTGAATTAATTCTACACCCATATAGGAAGGGATACATACACCCCAAATATTTCTCCGATAAAGATATACTGTTCGTTTGTTTGTTTAAACAATGCTTATTACGTAATTTGTTTATATTCATGTTGTGCTTTGGACCGTTACACGTATGCTTATATTCTATTTTTAGACATGTTTAGACGGCAGTTTCAAGATATGGTATAACTTCTATGAGACCATATACAGACTGGTGTACCAACTGCTTGTTCATAAATGGGAATAAATTATTAGCATTCTACGATAACTCGATAACTATGCTTACGTAATGTTTAGTATTGTCTCTCCTAGTACACCGTGCATCCTCATCCACTCTTCGTCCGTCAAATCCATGGACGATTCGACGCCACGCTTCTCCCACGGGTAATGTGGTGTCCCCAAAGCAGAAAGCCGTGTTGTTATATTCATCGCCACGGGATAAAGATCTACCATAGTCAAACGCGCCCCCACAGTGCAGTTATATCCTTCCAGGGACATACTAAGCTTCATAAAAGCATCTTCCATCTTTAAAAAAAAAAAAAAAAAATTAATCATAATATTTGTATGTGACAAGCTAACATGGTGACATCCAGTGAGAGTGGACTGTGGTACTACTATAGTGACCACCACTATAAGAGTCTTCGGTGCTTTACTGAAACTGCTGTCTGATCCATGTCAGGTAAACTATTACGCCATCACACAACTATTGCATCAATTGTTAACATTGCTTCATGACAATTCAAATTAGTATGGATATTTCATACACCACAAACCATGTCTTACCTCCTTTTCAACGGATGTGACATTGATCGCATCACGCAGTCTGCCATACGAAGGAGAAAATATGTCCGCGGTGCACATATCCATCACTCGTACAGCAGTTTGAGGGTCCATGTAGGCCGTCACCTCTCCTAGGGCCTGCTGGCACACAGCCGAGTAATTGTTTGGACCTTGCAGGATCTCCTGTATTGTTGACATCAAATTTCAAATATAATTCTTCAAAACTTTCATAAGGTTCATAGGTGAAAAAAGAATATATACACATTGTCAAAAGAACAGATACCCTTCTTCATCAGTATGTGTAACTGCCAACAAGTAGAAAGTTATGACACCACATGTTTGACACTCACTGCTCAGTTGTTGTTTTTTTTATAGATGGACGCTTTCATACTTATTGAATCTTTGATACTCAACGTCATTACTTGTAGATAGATTTTTTTTATTACTCTCCGTAATAAATGGATAAAATCTTTGATACTCACCGACATTGTACGTGGTTTGAAGCTTTGATTCTAACCGACATTGAACGTGGTTTGAAGCTTTGATACTCACTGACGTTGTACGTGGTTTGAAGCTTTGATACTCACCGACATTGTACGTGGTTTGAGTCTTTGATACTCACCGATATTCTACGTGGTTTGATGCTTTGATTCTCACCGACATTGTACGTAGTTTGAAGCCTTGATTCTAACCGACATTGCACGTGGTTTGAAGCTTTGATTCTCACCGACATTGTACGTGGTTTGAAGCTTTGATTCTAACCGACATTGTACGTGGTTTGAAGCTTTGAATCTAACCGACATTGTACGTGGTTTGAAGCTTTGATTCTAACCGACATTGTACGTGGTTTAAAGCTTTGATTCTAACCGACATTGTACTTGGTTTGATTCTTTGATTCTCACCGACATTGTACGTGGCTTGAAGCTTTGAATCTAACCGACATTGTACGTGGTTTGAAGCTTTGATTGTAACCGACATTGTACGTGGTTTGAAGCTGTGATACTCACCGACATTGTACGTGGTTTGATGCTTTGATTCTAACCGACATTGTACGTGGTTTGAGTCTTTGATACTCACCGACATTGTACGTGGTTTGAAGCTTTGATTCTTAGCAACATTGTACGTGGTTTGAAGCTTTGATTCTCACCGACATTGTACGTGGTTTGATGCTTTGATTCTAACCGACATTGGACGTGGTGTGAGGCTTTGATTCTAACTGACATTGTACGTGGTTTGAAGCTTTGATTCTAACCGACATTGTACGTGGTTTGAAGCTTTGATTCTAACACATTGTACGCGGTTTGAAGCTTTGATTCTAACCGACATTGTACGTGGTTTGATGCTTTGATTCCAACCGACATTGGACGTGGTGTGAGGCTTTGATTCTAATTGACATTGTACGTGGTTTGAAGCTTTGAATCTCACCGACATTGTACGTGGTTTGAAGCTTTGATTCTAACCGACATTGTACGTGGTTTGAAGCTTTGATTCTAACCGACATTGTACGTGGTTTGAAGCTTTGATTCTAACCGACATTGTACGTGGTTTGAAGCTTTGATTCTAACCGACATTGTACGTGGTTTGATGCTTTGATTCTAACCGACATTGTACGTGGTTTGATGCTTTGATTCTAACCGACATTGTACGTGGTTTGATGCTTTGATTCTAATCTACATTGCACGTGGTTTGAGACTTTGATACTCACCGTCAATACTTGTGGTGTGAACATCACATTCCTGACGATTGCTAAATCTTTACTGTCCAAATTTAAGCTTTCCAGAAATATCACAAATTCTCCAAATGCAAAATCTGCTTCCTTTTTTACACCTGATCGTTCATAAAATGTAAAGTTGTATTAGTTTTCAGTATTTCATTTCGTAAACATAAATAATTGTATACGTCTAAACTCATTGTTACCGTTATTGAATGTTTCCAATAGCGTAAAAAAGTTACTAAACATTTAACATTCTCCATACAACAAAATGTTACTCAGAGTTTAACATCCTCTTGAAATTAAACAATTAGACCTAGAGTTTAACATCCTCTATAAATTAAACAATTAGACCTAGAGTTAAACATCCTCTATAACTTAAACAATTAGACCTAGAGTTTAACATCCTCTATAAATTAAACAATTAGACCTAGAGTTTAACATCCTCTAAGAAAACAATGTTTTTATTCACCAAATGCAATACAGCATATACAATTACATATCACATGCTTCATGATAAAGTACAATATACAAGATGGCGGAGGATATAATTCCTTTTCCACATTTAACATATACATTTTACCGCCCCACAACGGCTTTTCTTCTGGCTGTAGCATGCATAGCATAACATACCATGTTATCTAGACAGAACATATATTGTAATATGCATCAGTGTTTCCCAGACACAGATTCACGTGTTACATACTCGGTGATAAGAAGAGAGAATGCATTCTATTATCATTAAGTATGTAACACATATATGTACCTTCTTACAATATATATATATATATATATATATATAAACATGTAGCGAATATCTTTGGTTTCTGCCCTGAAGCTAACCACCAATCTTTCAATATAATTGACCAGCGTTAAATAAAACAGTCAATACATAGACAAGTGTATACACTCGTTAGATTCGTATTACTATAAACATAGTTTATATTACTTTATATGTACATTTTCTATGAGTACTATGAGTATGAGAACGATGTTTACCGTAGCACGTATCAAATAATTGAAGAATATATGATAGACTTGTGAATCTTAAGAAACTTCGAGGGAGGAGATATTTTTATGTAGGATTTTCGTTGTTGGGACCGATGTTTCACTTCGGGATATCCGAGTTTTTCGAGTTTTCAGAGTTCGAATTATCAGAGTTTTTATTACTAAGATTAAGAAGAGTTTTGGCCGGGACCGATGAAATACTTCGAGTTAAACGGGGTCTTCGAGTTATACGAGTTCGAGATAACGAGGTTCGACTGTATTTTTGTAAAAGTAAAGGAGCTTCATATTACCTTCGGAGTATTTGACCATAGTGGTGAGCATGTCCATCACACTGTCAGCCGTACAGAACATCTGGTCTGTTGAATTTTTACCGGCAATCTGTTCCATCATCATCTGGATGCCACTTAAAGACCGCTCTATGGACCTAGAGTAATGGAGTAAAATGAAATGCACATTCCAGTATGGTGATATTAGTGAAAAAATAGTAGAAGGCTTTACACCATCGACAACAAACAATCGACAGTAAACAACATACAAGAAACAAGTTCAATCAAAGAATTAATAATAAACAACTAGTAGCAAACAATCGACAGTGAATAAAAATAGTAACCAAGTAACAGTAACCAACACGTCATAGTAAACAACCACCAGTAACCAAACAACAGTTCAACAAGCCCGCTAGAACAGGGTATGGTTACCCTCAACCCCTGACAAACTAAGTCATATTGAAAGACCACAATTAAAAATCGGAATTCAGATTCGTAATTTGGATACAATGAACATAGCGACGTTAACTTAATCTGTAATAACGTATTAAGGCTGATGGCCCAAACAATGGTTCACCAGCATTCTCACATTCTCGACCTAGTTATGCATTTATAAAAATAGTTTTCACTGTATTATAACATGCCAATCTCTTTTGCAACTCAACCGAATGCTACGAAATGATATTTCTAATTTTCATTTATATCCAGGTCATGCGGAGCTTAACTTCTCTTTGACTAGCCGTAGAGAGGCACACTGACCTCAAACCAAGATGGATGTCGCCATGCCAAACCGCTAATCTGTAGTTATATATATAACAGTAGATTGAAGTAGATAAATCAACAAATATTGACTCTACAATCTTCCCCCTCACTTCCCATTTTCCTCTCACAAACGATAGAAAATCTATATTTTTCCGTGGCTTATCACTAGAAAACAGATTAATATCAGCTTAATTAGCTTATTTCCGGATAAGATTTTTTATGAGCAAAATGACGTAACTGAAATTGAAATTTGTTACAAAGAAAGGAATGAAGTTGACTCTAGAAGGTGAACAATACAACGAAGGCTAACTTACCTAACTTGATAAAGGATCTTAATATGCTGTGCAACTTCATCACATTATGTGGTGAAATAATGAGTTATTGTAAATAAAAAAGTGCTATAATGTTTATGGCAAGTCTGGCTTTATGTGCCTTTATGTGCCTTTATGTGCCTTTTACATGGCTTTTATATAACAGAAAATGTTACGAAAGGACATTTTATATGAGGTCTATTTATTCATCACGGTCACAAAGTCCTTGGTTTTACATGTATTCACAGGTAAAATTTGTAACTGGATAATTGTAGAACGATTTCTCTGGTTAAACAAAAAACCCAAACTATGTTGGTTTAACGTCAACATGCATACCCACGTGTAGCAAAAGTTAAGTCTCGCACGACCTAGACCCAAAATCTACCTTAGATAATATTTTCCTTTTTCGAAGCTTAAGAGAATGTTATAATGCCGATGAACTATTTTTTGAAGACATCAGCCTTAATACCTTAGTATAGACTAAGTTAACGTCGCTATGTACAATTTTAGTAATAAGAGTACAATTTCAATATCTCTGTATCACATGTCGGACTTGCGATGTTTAATGTGGGTCTTTTAATATTACTTATAAGGAAGGGGATTGATATTTTGGGAGATCGAACCATTTTTAGGGGGCTTGTTGAACCTTTACAGAACAAACAAGTAAAAGTAAACAAATCGATACTTAAGTAACAGGAAGTAATAAACAGTAGAAAATAACAATCGATTACAAACAATGGAAGTATTCGTACTGTGAACTATTGAGTATAAAACCGGCTAATCAACTTGTCCTTTAAATATCACGCACTACTGCTTTCCTGAAATGGAGTTTGGGAGTGGAAACTAAATAGTGTTTTATTTCACGTTAATTGCGTACTGTACGTCCATAGGTTGTCCCTCTAGAAGTGCCTGTGTGGAGGCGGACATGTCCCCGGAATATGCAGACAGCTGTAGTAATGCCGACAGGTCGGTATCATTGCTAAACATGTCCAAGATACTGGATAAGTCCTCAAGACCAGAGTTGAGCACCGCCGTCAAGTTTAGGTTCCCGTCTGTAAACACCAAACAGATTTATTGAAAATACTAACAGTCAAATTCTGACATCACAGACATGATACTGAGATCGAATAAAGTCATTATTTCAGTGTAAAGTATCACAGTGTGATAATTGAAGTATTGCCCGTTGTAACGTTGAACTACTTTGGCTGTTATAGTACGCATATTGAGGACCACTAACCTGATCCAATGGCGTCCGCCGCTGATTTAAGTTGATCTGCCAAACCCATTATTGTCTGCCAATCAGTGAAGTTTGGAGCGAAACTTTGTATGATTGGATTTAGGAACATCAGTAATCCATCAACACTGCAACAAACACAAAATCCTTCTGATCTATGGAGTTAGGCTTATTGATATTTGATGCTGCGTTCAGTGATTAAAACAAGAGGCCCAATGGGCCTGCATCGCTCACCTGGTATAAAACTCACACTTGTAACCTTAAAAGTGATCTAAAATAAAGCTACAGGCAAAATATCAGTATTTATGATTAAAATTCATTCAAAAGACCCTGTTATTTTTTTTAAAAACATTTCAGCCCTATGATTGAAAGTCGAACAAAGTCATTATGTTGAACACATTGTATATAGCCTTTCATCTCAGGATGCAACTTACAAAGTATAAACAGCCTGGGACCCATGGTTATTCATAAGAGGTTGTTTAAAGATTTTAAACAAATTTGACCCCTGTGACCTTGAATATAAGTCAAAGTCATTCACTTTAACAAACATAGTAGTCCTTGATCCCAGCATATGCTACTGACTAAATATTAACATCCTGAGCCTTTTGGTCATTCAGAAAAAAGTTGTTGAAATATTTTGAACATATTTGCTCCTTGTGACCTTGAATATGATTCGAGGTCATACATTTAAACAAACTTGGTAGCCCTTGATCCTGGTATACTACTGACTAAATATCATCACCCAGGGCATTTTGGTTATTCAGAAGAAGTTGTTTAAAGTTTTTAACATATTTGACCCCTGTGACCTTGAATATGGGTGAAGGTCATTTATTTGAACAAACTTTGTAGCCCTTTATCTCAGCATGCTACTGGCCAAATATCATTACCCTGGGCATTTTGGTTATTGAGAAGAAGTTGTTTAAAGTTTTTAACATATTTGACCCCTGTGACCTTGAAAATGGGTGAAGGTCATTCATTTGAACAAACTTTGTAGCCCTTCATTTCAGCATGCTACTGGCCAAATATCATTACCCTGGGCATTTTGGTTATTGAGAAGAAGTTGTTTAAAGTTTTTAACATATTTGACCTCTGTGACCTTGACAATGGGTGCAGGTCATTCATTTGAACAACTTTGTAGCCCTTCATATCAGCATGCTACTCGCCAAATATTATCACCCAGGGCATTTTGGTTGTTCAGAAAAAGCTGTTTAAAGGTTTTTTAAGACAATTGACCCCTGTGACCTTGAATATAATTGAAGGTCATTCATTTGAACAAACTTGGTAGCCCTTCACCCAAGCATGCTACTGGCAAAATATCATCTCCCTGGGCAGTTTGATTATTGAGAAGAAGATGTTTAATTTTTTTTTAACATATTTGACCCCTGTGACATTGAAAATAGGTGAAGGTAATTAATTTTAACAAAATTTGTAGCCCTTCATCCCAGTTTGCTTCTGGCCAAATATCGACACCCTAGGCCTTTCGGTTGTTGAGAAGAAGTTGTTTAAAGTAAAATATTGACGCCGGACGACGGACGGACGGACGACGGACGCCGTGCAACGGCATTAGCTCACTTGGCACTTCATGCCAGGTGAGCTAATAAAATAGAGCACAAGTATTGAAATTGTTAATGAAAACTAAGAAAACAAAACCCCCTCCTCAAACAAACAAACAAAACAAAACCAACAAAATGTCAGAATTTTAAAGAACAAACAGGGAATACTTATAATGCATCCTTTAATATGCTCCATGATTGCGCCACAGAAAACTGGCATTCGAAACGTTTCAGACTTCAGTTTAGGAATAATCACTTTCAGTAGAGTCGAAATGTCGGGATGGCCTTTTACATACCTCGAGGATTCAAACGACTGCATCTGAGTGAAGAGATCTACAAAGCCAGGTAGTTTGTTCAGCAATGAGGGAAGGTCCTGTAACATTGTCGTGGAGGAAAACATGTTTACGATGGATGAGGTACCAGACAGCACATCTACCATGGAAGCGATGTCCTCTAGGGCATCCCCTAATTCGTACGTTTGCGTTAATGTTGTCAGTGTTTTCGCCTGAAAGGAAGAGAGATTAGGAGACATTACCCGTCACCTCGCACAACGATCTTAACCGAAGATGATATTGTCTATATGGCCAATCGTTTGGTCGACAAAATTTTGATATCTTTTGATCATGTCATTATTGGAATTCAAATGGGGACTAAATAACAACTACTTACATATATACAGATAATAAACTCGAAACGATAAACACGTGTTCCTAGAACTACAAGTATCCTCACGTGTTAACAATTAAACATTGAACATCTCTTCTTCCTCAGCTGGACTACTGAGACTTACCTACAGTATGACAATAAAGGTAAGTAGCGTAGTAAAGTATAAAGACTTAAGTCTGAGTAAATACTCAAAGTAATTAAGCAAGGACTACATTAACAGTATTCTGCCAGTAATGTTGTGATGTAAAAACGTAATGTTGATATTCTGTAAATATTGCTAGGATGTAAAGACAACAGATTTGTGTTCTGTCAATAATAAAGCGATACAACAACAATACTGTCTTTAATATGTCAATAATGTAGCGATACAACAACATTAATGTCATTAATGTGTCAATAATGTAGCGATACAACAACAATAATGTCATTAATATGTCAATAATTTGCGATACAACAACAATAATGTCATTAATGTGTCAATAATGTAGCGATACAACAACAATAATGTAATTAATGTTTCAATAATGTAGCGATACAACAACATTAATGTCATTAAAGTGTCAATAATGTAGCGATACAACAAAAATAATGTCATTAATGGGTCAATAATGTAGCGATACAACAACAATGATGTCATTTATGTGTCAATAATGTAGCGATACAACAAAAATGATGTCATTAATGTGTCAATAATGTAGCGATCCAACAACAATAATGTCATTAATGTGGCGAGAATGTAGCGATACAACAACAATAATGTAATTAATGTGTCAATAATGTAGCGATAAAACAACAATAATGTCATTAATGTGTAAATAATGTAGCGATACAACAACAATGATGTCATTAATGTGTCAATAATGTAGCGATAAAACAACAATAATGTCATTAATGTGTAAATAATGAAGCGATACAACAACAATAATTTCATTAATGTGGCAATAATGTAGGGATACAACAACAATAATGTCATTAATGTGTAAATAATGTAGCGATACAACAACAATGATGTCATTAATGTGTCAATAATGTAGCGATAAAACAACAATAATGTCATTAATGTGTAAATAATGTAGCGATACAACAACAATGATGTCATTAATGTGTCAATAATGTAGTGTTACAACAACAATAATGTCATTAATGTGTAAATAATGTAGCGATACAACAACAATGATGTCATTAATGTGTCAATAATGTAGCGATACAACAACAATGATGTCATTAATGTGTCAATAATGAAGCGATGTAAAGACAAGGTTAAGTCATTTAAGACAATTTCGAGAGGATGTTTAGTATTTTCACATTATTTATATATTACAAAGATATATTTATTACACATGGCTGTACAGTAAATTAGCTGATATATCTACATAGAAACAAACAATAACAGTATTCTGCCTCGCTGTCGTTTTAACTATTACCATCTAATCATAGTTTATTTAGATTACTGATACAATAAGTCTTTTTGTTGCATTACGTCATCGAATAGAACGACTACCATGATCATTATTTGGCAATACCCACCAATATAATGATGGCCCACAAGTCATCATTATGTCAACAACTCAATTCTCTCCTCTTTGAACGATAAAGTATTATTGACGCTATCATCTACTTGTTCATGTTGTGGCATGTTTTAACTGGATTCAGGCATTCTTTTATGTACTTTAAAAGTCCACCAGGACGTGTAAGATGGCAATGGGTGTGTACCTATACTTTAGTCGACATGTGTCCATATTTACACTTCCCCTCTCCTAACACAAATCTCTAAAACCTGTGTGATGTGTAAATATGGGAAACACTATTCGGGACGCCCTAAATAAACTCACACACGATTTTTACGAAAAAATCAATTAGATCGCAGAATATACATCGATCAGTTATCTTGTTTTAAAAAAATGACAAAATTATGCAGTACTACTAGGTAATGTGGAATGTACACTAAATACAATGACGATGTCATTCTGACTTAAGTATGGGCTTTGTTGTTTTTATTAATATGATATCCAAAATAATAACGATAACCTGATCGAAGTATCAAAACTGTTATGCTATATATTACACACTTCCACAAATGAAAAATAAACAGATAATAACACGTTTAAACCTTGCTAATAGTTAAACTCTTGATATTGTATATCAACCCAATATTATACATATATTCATGAAATATGACTATAATTGCTGTTCTTGTATACAAAAAGGACTATAGTTGTTTTTCTTGTATACAATTAGGACAATAATTGCTGTTCTTGTATACAATTAGGACAATAATTGCTGTTCTTGTATACAAATAGGACAATAATTGCTGTTCTTGTATACAAGTAGGACAATAATTGCTGTTTTTGTATACAAATAGGACAATAATTGCCGTTCTTGTATACAAAAATGACAATAATTGCTGTTCTTGTATACAATTAGGACAATAATTGCTGTTCTTGTATACAATTAGGACAATAGTTGCCGTTATTGTATACGAATAGGACAATAATTGCTGTTCTTGTATACAAATAGGACAATAACTGCTGTTCTTGTATACAATAAGGACAATAATTGCTTTTCTCGTATACGAATAGGACAATAATTGCTGTTCTTGTATACAAATAGGACTTTAATTGCTTTTCTTGTATACAATTAGGACAATTATTGCTGTTCCCGTATACGAATAGGACAATAATTGCCGTTCTTGTATACAAAAATGACAATAATTGCTGTTCTTGTATACAATTAGGACAATAATTGCTGTTCTTGTATACAATTAGGACAATAGTTGCCGTTATTGTATACGAATAGGACAATAATTGCTGTTCTTGTATACAAATAGGACAATAACTGCTGTTCTTGTATACAATAAGGACAATAATTGCTTTTCTCGTATACGAATAGGACAATAATTGCTGTTCTTGTATACAAATAGGACTTTAATTGCTTTTCTTGTATACAATTAGGACAATTATTGCTGTTCCCGTATACGAATAGGACAATAATTGCCGTTCTTGTATACAAAAATGACAATAATTGCTGTTCTTGTATACAATTAGGACAATAATTGCTGTTCTTGTATACAATTAGGACAATAGTTGCCGTTATTGTATACGAATAGGACAATAATTGCTGTTCTTGTATACAAATAGGACAATAACTGCTGTTCTTGTATACAATAAGGACAATAATTGCTGTTCTTGTATACAAATAGGACAATAATTGCTGTTCTTGTATACAAATAGGACTTTAATTGCAGTTCTTGAATACAAATACGACAATAATTGCCGTTCTTGTATACAATTAGGACAATAATTGCTGTTCTTGTATACAATTAGGACAATAGTTGCCGTTATTGTATACAAATAGGACAATAATTGCTGTTCTTGTATACAAATAGGACTTTAATTGCAGTTCTTGAATACAAATACGACAATAATTGCCGTTCTTGTATACAATTAGGACTATAATTGCTCTTCTCGTATACAAATAAGATTATAATTGCTGTTCTCGTATACAAATAGGACAAAAATTGCTGTTCCTGTATACAAACTTTTCGGTTTATTTGTGATGCCCAGAATAGGAGACTTTGCTTTCGAATATTAACATATTGCATATATAATACACTGCGAGCTTGAAACAATTATATAAATATATATCTAAAGATAAGTTAATCAGTGTGTAACGTATTACGGGTATTACATATAATCCTATTACACATTGTCCTGGTATAACATATAATCCTATTACACATTGTCCTGGTATTACATATAATCCTATTACACATTGTCCTGGTATTACATATAATCCTATTACACATTGTCCTGGTTTTACATATTATCCTATTACACATTGTCCTGGTATAACATATAATCCTATTACACATTGTCCTGGTGTTCAGTATTTGAGTACGATTTGGTATCGATTTCGATCATGAACGGGTGTGCTTCTGGTATAACTAGACAACACTCATTCTGGTCATATGTTCGATGATTCTAGTTCCACCCTATGTTGTTTTTTGCTCAGATTAGACGAATTAAACATCGTCTTTGCAAGCGTAATAATTGAAAAGCAAGGAGAAAAACTGCTGATGTTTATCGCCATATGATGCATTATATGGAGCAACCTGCGCGCAGTCTATGGTTGATTATCACTTACAATGTTCCCCACAGTGCTCCTAGTATACTGTTGTAGTATATAAACTAATCTGAGTTAATAATACATTTGTCAACGTTTCAGAACAGATATAACACACCACTACTCTTGTATAAACCTAATCACCAGCTGGAATCGATCACACACTGTGGTGCTTATAATTAAACTCACAGTTTTAATCAATTACCGTTTTCATATCATAAATACAAAACATTGTTATTGCATATAATTATAAAAATATTTTAATATTTATACACTGGAGTAAAATATTCACCGTTGTTCTCTGAATACAGGAAATCGCAATGGGATGTAAGTATAAACCTATTTTATCACATTGTCAACTCACTATTCGTATGATGGCGGCGATGTCCATCTGTGACTGTACGGTGTCTGTAATGGCGGGAATCTTGTCGCTGTCTATGAAGCACAGTTCCTCGGAAATTTGGCTGATATTGGTGCTCTTGTCAAAAATCATATATTTCTTTAGTTCTTCAGCGTTACACACGATATACCGTAAGTCTATGCCACCGATGGACTGAAAAATCTGCAAAAAAATCAAAAAGTAAAAGTTAGGCACTCAAGTGAAGCCGCTGAATCGTCATTCAACTGTATTATAGTGTACAACATTGGCGAGGAGTATTTCTCTAGTAATTCATAGAAGACATTGTTTTACCTCAATGTTTAATTTGTGGTCACCTGAATAAAATAAAACTAAAAACCGATAATTGTCTTATCATGGATGTGTCCTTTACTTATTTTACTAGTCTATTTAACTTACACGAAACACGTCGATGGACGCATTGAGAAATGCATCAGCTACCTCAGGCGACATGATCTTCAGTTCGTCCACCAACACACCCTTTACTTTATTAGCATCTTTTAGCAGCTTTCTAACAGTGAAGGTGTCATTTCCTAGATAACACGTACAGACAAAAGTTAATTTATAATCTCATTCATAAAAGTATTGGTACACTGCCGTAATTTACAGAAATGTCATCGCACTTTATCTATATTTCACTAGACACTAAATATTGTTACTTCCATGGATACTTAATATCATTACTACACTGAATACTTCATATCTCTACTGCACTGGATACTAAATGTAATTAATACACTGAATACTCAATATCACTACTACACTGGATACTAAATATTACTACCACACTGGATACTAAATATCACTACACTGGATACTTAATATCACTACTTCACTGGATACTTAATATCACTACTTCACTGGATACTAAATATCACTACACTGGATACTAAATATCTCTACTACACTGGATACTAAATATCACTACTACACTGGATACTAAATATCTCTACTACACTGGATACTACATATCACCACTACACTGGATACTGGATATCTCTACTACAATGGATACTAAATATCCCTACTACACTGGATACTAAATATCGCTACCACACTGGATACTAAATATCACTACCACACTGGATACTAAATATCTCTACTGCACTGTATACTAAATATATCTACTACACTGGATACTAAATATCACCACTACACTGGATACTAAATATCACTACCACACTGGATACTAAAAATCACTACTGCACTGGATATTAAATATCACTACCACACTGGATACTAAATATCTCTACTGCACTGACTACACTGGATACTTAATATCACTACCACACTGGATACTTAATATCTCTACTACACTGGATACTAAATATCTCTACTACACTGGATACTTAATATCATTACTACACTGGATACTAAATATCACTACTACACTGGATACTAAATATCACTACACTTGATACTAAATATCTCTACTACACTGGATACTAAATATCACTACTACACTGGATACTAAATATCACTACTCTTGATCCTAAATATCTCTACTACACTGGATACTACATATCACCACTACACTGGATACTGGATATCTCTGCTACAATGGATACTAAATATCCCTACTCCCCTGGATACTAAATATCACTACCACACTGGATACTAAATATCTCTACTACACTGGATACTAAATATCACTACACTGGATACTAAATATCTCTACTACACTGGATACTAAAAATCTCTACTACACTGGATACTGGATAATGTAACGGGCGGAATGCTGTGCTGGTTGCCTTCGGCATGGTATTCCAGTGAGATAGCAAATTAAAGTCGGCATCAGATCTAAGCTATCACAAGGAGGCAAATACACCAACATATCCTGTCTTCGGCACACACACACACATACACACACATGCACGCTTACACATCACCCACGAAGACACGTCCTTAAATGACATTACCTGGTAACAGGACGTTAAACAATATCAAATCAAATCAGCTTGGTTCAAATATTTAAAAAAAACAATCTTTGCTGTTTTTCATTATAATTGTATCCCAGCAATAAAATTGGAGGAACCTTCGAATATATGTGTAGTCGCACATTAGGAGGTTTGTTCGCCAACTCATTCCATGCCCCCTCCCCCTGCCTCCACCAATGATAATAGTGAAACCTGTAAAAAGAGCCAGTCATGGATGCAGTGCTTAAGTATTGTGATATTAAGGTTTTAACCTATTCACAAAGCCTTACCCAAAGCAGTCAGCAGGCCTGGCAGTGCCGTCCCATCAGAACTATTTGTTGGACTAAGAAGTATGTTCATTCCCTTCACAACTTTAACACTGCTTTCTAATGTTTGTAACGCTTGTACCGACGTTTCAGCGGTTAAATATGGCTGTAAATCGGAAACCAAAGACGTCAATCTGAAAAGAAATGGATGATGTCATTAAATTAATAGGAAATTACAAATAATTCAAATTCAACTTAATGTTACCATGACATGATACGTGTTAACATGGCCCAATAAATCTTCACAAAGGATGATATATTGTAATCTTTTATTCTAGGTTATTTCTTGTCAATAGTTTTAAAGACTGGAATATTATCACGTGACCTGAAGATAAGTGTTCTTCAACTTTCAAACGGTAACTTACTCATTACTAAATCACTGGTCTAGACTTTTAACTGAGTTTTACTTTGTAACCTTAACTGGTGCATTATCAAGTAAGTTTTTAAACTACCTTAATATTTGTTTTAGATTATGCTATATTAATATATAACGATGTCAATTTCTATTGTTTGATATATTTGCATGTAGGTACATCACACTGATGTCATTACATGTAGGTACATCACACTGATGTCATTACATTGATGAACAGTTTTTCATGAAACTGAAAGCTTTCTATGATATATTTTATTGAGATAACTAATATAATCATGGATATAATGTTTGCGTAAATAATTAATATGTATATTTTATTTTAGCTTACATATATATTTCACAAACAATAGAACCTTGCGGAAGGTTAGCTGTTTTAGCTTAATATGTACATTGTAATTTACACTCAACAAATAAAGTTTATTATCATTATTATTATATGATATAAGTTGACATAACCTACTTTAAAACGACATTGTCAGTGATTGAGTTAATGATATATTTCCTCTGAAAGTGTATTTGATGGTATGTTGAGCTATACGTACTTGGAAGCTGATGCTTGGCGTTGCTGTATGGTAGACTGTTCCTCGCAGGGATTCTGAAGACTACACACTGTGGACTGTATGAATGGCAGCATTCCCGCACTAGGCATGGCTTTTTCGGCATAGGAACCTGAAACAATGGCAACACACAATCGTTAATCATCACACCATTTATAGTCATAAACATATCTTATACAAGAGCTATGTTTATTTCTGCAACACAATAGGGTATCCATTTATCGAACAGTAGTTAAAACAAAGTCATGTCAGAATATAAGTCGCTCATACACCCAATAGAGATGGTGCTTACATATATTATCTCATAATAAAATGAACTTTACGTAAATGTATATATACACTATTGCAGGGCTGTTAAGGTTCTGTTTCCATTATGGTGTATATTTCTATTTAAACACTTACATGTGTTTTTTTCATTGCCTGGCGTTCCATGTCTCACCAGAGCGACGATGCCAAATATTATCAACGGCCAGATGATCTCCAGAAGCAAAACATGCTGAAAAAAGTGGATATTGTTAGTCTAAATATGTTCTTCGAATGAGGTCATGATCGATTAGGACAGTAATTAAATAATTACAAAAATAAACTTATTCCTCTCCTGTGTCTGTTAAAATTGTCGATTTGTGATGTCATATCTAAATTTTCAACATGGTTACACTTATGATATTAAATATTATTAAATGTAAATAAGTAAGTACCGCAATCTTCAAAAAAAAAACAAAGGCGAAAACTCCCTGGTATGTGAAGGGACAACACATGCAATATCTCCTTGATATGTGAAGGGACAATACAGGCGATATTTCCTTTATATGTGAAGGGACAACACAAGCAATATCTCATTGATATGTGAAGGGACAATACAGGCGATATCTCCTAAATATGTGAAGGGACAACACATGTGATATCTACTGATATGTGAAGGGACAACACAAGCGATATCTCCTTGATATCTGAAGGGACAACACAGGCGATATCTCCTTGATATCTGAAGGGACAACACAGACGATATATACAGTTATGTGAAGGGACAACACATGTGATATCTACTGATATGTGAAGGGACAACACAAGCGATATCTCCTTGATATCTGAAGGGACAACATAGGCGATATCTCCTTGATATCTGAAGGGACAACACAGGCGATATATATAGTTATGTGAAGGGACAACACATGTGATATCTACTGACATGTGAAGGGACAACACCTGTGAAGGGACAACACATGTGATATCTACTGATATTTGAAGGGACAACACAAGCGATATCTCCTTGATATCTGAAGGGACAACACAGGCGATATCTCCTTAATATGTGAAGGGACAACACGTAATATCTACTGATATGTGAAGGGAATAACACAGGCGATATCAACTGTTATGTGAAGAGAATAGCACAGGAGATATCTATTGATATGTGAAGGGATAACACAGGTGATATCCACTGCGATGTGAAGGGAATAACACAGTCGATATCAACTGTTATGTGGAGGGACCACCCAGGCGATATCTCCTGATATGAGAAGGGACAACACAGGCGATATATACTGATATGTAAAGGGAATAACACAGGCGATATATACAGTTATGTGAAGGGACAACACATGTGATATCTACCGACATGTGAAGGGACAACACCTGTGAAGGGATAGCACAGGCGATATCTGCTAATACGTGAAGGGAATAACACAGGCGATATCTACTGATATGTGAAGGGACAGCACAGGTGATATCTACTAACATGTGAAGGGACAACACAGGTGATATCTACTGATATGTGAAGGGACAACACAGGTGAAATATACTGACATGTGAAGGGACAACACAGGTGATATCTACTGACATGTGAAGGGACAACACATGTGATATCTACTGATATGTGAAGGGAATAACACAGGCGATATCTACTGACATGTGAAGGGACAACACAGGTGATATCTACTGACATGTGAAGGGACAAAACAGGTGATATCTACTGACATGTGAAGGGACAACACAGGTGATATCTTCTGATATGTGAACGGAAAACACAGGTGATATCTACTGACATGTGAAGGGACAACACAGGTGATATCTACTGACATGTGAAGGGACAACACAGGTGATATCTACGGACATGTGAAGGGACACAGGTAATATCTCCGTAATATGTCAAAGGACACCATGTACACTTGCAATACCTTCCCTAGAGACTGCACAACACTTTCACTTTACAGTACGAAGTATAGAGAAAACTTAACGTAAACGCTTTAAATTTAACAAAGAAAGTATTTAGAGAAACAACAATAGATGTAGCAATTGAAATAGTGTACAGGTAAGTATAATTATAACTGACGTGTCTGGACGGTTAAACAGAATACTGTCTATTTTTTTTATATCGAAATTACATTAACAAAATAATTAAAAAGATAGAAAATAAAAAAATGAACATGAATGTCCATTTATTTGTTTATAGCATTGATACCGGCATTAAAATGTGAGCCAGTCATTTAAATTTAAAATGATTGGCAAACACTACATTTTCTTATTGCGAAATTTTAACTGCGTGTGATTCATTTTCATAAAATGGCTGACATACTCAGTTCCCCTTCAACGACACAAAGAGATCTGGCGTTAAGGATGGGTGGGCTTGTGTATTACTTAAGATGTTACGCAATAGTAGATATTTTCCTTAGATATATATTTCCAAAAGTTGTTTATTGATCACCGATTTCTTGATAAAGAAAAACCAACGTTTAGAGCTTGGAAAATCTTGTCAACATCTATATGGTGATTTCGACTGTGTTTAAAATTGCTTACAAATTTTTCATCCTACTGCGCAATAAAATGGGTCTCCTCTTTAGTTTCTGAAGTGGCAAGTATTATTTAGTAAACTTGCATAAAGGGAAATAAAAATAAGCTACAGCAACGTACAACTTAAACCACCCCACTTTTACAAAAGTGGCCTTTCAATTGAACTGTAACTTTCACGCACTCGAATGAAGAATTACACTTTTGGTTATTATGATGAAACCTCTTGTTTAGAACAACATATTTTCTATTATTCAACGAAAAAAAAGGTCTATCATCAACGATTCCTCACAAATGCATGCTAAGTATTTCCTATTTCAAGTAAACAGATAAAACGGGTTACAGCATTAATACGGTAGAGTAAGCGTTAATACGGTAGAGCAAGCGTTAATATGGTATGGTAAGCGTTAATACTGTAGAGTAAGCGGTTATACTGTAGAGTAAGCGTAGATCAAAAACGATACTAGACATCACCAGGAACCAAGTGGACACAAAAGTACAACAGAAATATAACATGAAACTCTACGAAAACATCATATAAATAAACCTGTTTTGCAAGACGCATAAAATAATAATATATTCCAATGTTAAACGATTAGAATGTTTAACGGGACTCGAAGTGTAATAATGTATTCGAAAGTTTTTTTCGAGACACATAATGTAATAATTTATTCGAAGGTTTAACTGGACGCATCATATAATGATATATTCGAAGGTTTAACGACACGCACAATGTAAGAATATAGTCGAATGTTTAACGACACCCTAAGTGTAAGAATATAGTCGAAGGTTTAACGACACCCACAGTGTAAGAATATATTCGAAGGTTTAACGACACCCACAGTGTAAGAATATAGTCGAAGGTTTAACGACACCCTAAGTGTAAGAATATAGTCGAAGGTTTAACGACACCCACAGTGTAAGAATATAGTAGAATGTTTAAAGACACCCACAGTGTAAGAATATAGTCGAAGGTTTAACGACACCCTAAGTGTAAGAATATAGTCGAAGGTTTAACGACACCCACAGTGTAAGAATATAGTCGAATGTTTAACCAGCGCGTAATGCAATAATATATTTAAATGTTTAAGGGGACACATAATGTAAGAATACATGTATGTTCGAATGCTTTACAGGACGCATTAAGGTATAATAAATCAAAATGCTTTACAGGACGCTTTAAGTTATAATAAATCAAAATGCTGAACGGGTCGCATAATATAAGGATATATTTGAATGTTCTACGGGATGCATACTGTGATAATTTATTCCATTGTTTGTACGGGAAGCATACTGTAAACAAATTTTCCATAGTTTTTACGGGAAGCATACTGTAGAAATATAAATGTAAGAATATTTTCGAATGTTTCATGGGACAAATAATGTAATAATGCATTCGAACGTCACTGGAAGCATGATGTAATAATATATTCGAATGCTTTTCGAGACGCATATTGTAATAATCTCTTCGACTGTTATTTTTCGGGGTAAATAGTGTAAATTATTTTGAATATTTTACGGGACACATACTGTAAGAATATGTTGAAATGCTTTACATGAGGCATATTGTAATAATAAATTATAATGTTTAACGGGACACAAAATGAAAGTAAAGGAGAATTGCCGAAAACTGCATATTCTGTGAGATAATTGACTAATCGGGGCCCGTAAATAGGACCGAGATCTGCTCTTTCCCTCAAAGAATGGACAGTTTAATTTAAACTTTATTTTATTGTCGGTATAATATTTCAGTAATACAAACATGAGTTACATATAGGATTCGATAAACAAGTCCAAATTACTGATGTTAATCCATTTCCTTCTTTTATAAAGCGGCGATTGGACGGCGCTGACTAATAGTATACGCATACATATAGGTACTGTACATGTATATGGAAGAGAAGAGGATGGGGGAGGCAGTGGGGAAGGAGGTGCACAAGGGGTCTAATGAAAAAGCTGTGTGGGAGTAGAATATGTGGCGGAGTAAATTAAATGCATTATAGTTGGACATTATGCTAAGAAGATGAAAAACCACTTACAACATTATTTTGGAAGATTTTTAATGTGAAGTTGTGTTGAACACATCTAAAGGAGAACAGCAGTGAAAATATACTAAAATGTCTCTTAAATTATATCTAATATAATTAAGAGATACGGAGGGTAACAAAAACGGAGTAGCCAAGCAATCAATAAATCACTGAACACCTAAACCAGCACTTGTGGTAGTTAAACTACGTGGCTTCCCGGGGGTGACTACTATATTTGTAACAATGGCTTGTTACCAGGCTTGTTACCATATCAGGGAGTGTCTTTGGGATTAATTCTACATCCAAGTATGAGTCATTGCGTGTTATGTTGGATTATTCCTGAAACAGCTGTAGATTATTTTCTTTTCATCAATCATCATATTCAAAAAATAATTGTGGTATTCCCTCGTCAAATCAATTTTTACCGTAGTCGGTTGGAATAATTTGTTCCCAAAGTCTTAATTCTCCTCATATATCTATCGGTGGTGTTTCGATGAAATATATTTAACTGTTAAATTGATATTTTATGTAGGTTTATCTGATAAAACCATATGTTGTCAGTAACTTGATGTGTTTTTTTCTTCTAAACTTAATTATTTCTGTAATATGTATCTTATAAACCGTACCGGGAATTCCTTGTTGGAGCTTTTTCTGATTGTTTGAGAAAGTCGCATATATTACAAACTGTATATAGATAACTGCTTACTTAATATACCTGCTGTAGAAAATACATACCGGTTCTCGCCTTCGAAGGATGACATTTTTCCATAACAGCTGCCCAAGCTGTTTCAGGGCTCCCATCGCAGCTCCGAGTACTGCTCCAAAACACGCACTTTAGGTCTACAAATATAGGAACGAAATCAAATAACGTACCTGTCTGTTCACTGATATGCTTATGCTATTTCCCTATACTTTCATGGATCTAATATACGGATACATCTTTCGTAATACACTCCCATGAAACAGACTGTGTCCGCCTTAATATTATTGTGAAATAACGTCGGTGTGGGAAGCTTGTTGTTATATGCATGGATAAGCATGATACTATAAAAACACCTTGACATTGAATTTTTCAATTGTCGCTAAAGCGTCTATTTATATCACTACGCATTGCGTAGGTGTAGCCATACCTGGCGTCATTTTTGCATAACAGTGACACACTGTGAATATGTTTGTTCTTTAATTCAGACTTATTATCAGTCAATATAAAGTACAAGTGCCATTGTTTCGTCCGAAATTGACCTAACGAATCTTTTAATTTTGCGTTTTAAATAGAGAACTAAAAGCTACAATGAATATGTTATACATTTTTTCAGGAAAGCCCTTGCATCACTGTCGATTAGACAGATAGTACGACCTGCCAAACATTAAACACAGAGAGTTAACCCCATACAAAAATCCATAACAATATCAGCAAGTATCAGCGACTAAAACATTAAACACAGAGAATTAACCCCATACAAAAATCCATTACAATATCAGAAAGTATCAGCGACTAAAACATTAAACACAGAGAGTTAACCCCATACAAAAATCCATAACAATATCAGCAAGTATCAGCGACTAAAACATTAAACACAGAGAGTTAACCCCATACAACAATCCAT